TCCTTATTAGATTTTGCTTACATGTTTTTTTTGGATTTCCTTTTTAGATTTGGGTTAGATTTTTTTTTTGTCTTCCCTTTTTCTCGTGGTACCCGTTCGTTTCGTCGGACCTTCAACTGGGCCAGACTGTTTCGTCGGACCTTCACCGACTCATCAGGGGGTTGAACCCTGACAGTCTGCCCGTGGGCAGCCCGTGGGCAGCGAATGTGCCACCCTAGGCGGACAGGTTCAGACGAGAGAGAGAGAGAGAGAGAGAGAGAGAGAGAGAGAGAGAGAGAGAGAGAGAGAGAGAGAGAGAGAGAGAGAGGGGCCAACTTACCTGCGCCCGTTGGATGTAGGAACGGGCTGCAGTGGTTGCTGGCGCGCCCGAACCTGGCGCCGAGAGCATCCGGGTACGACGCAAAGGGTGGAAAGAAGACCCTATTGAGCTTCACTCTAGTTCGACTCTGTGAAATGAGTCGGGGGGGGGAAGTGCTCGTTCGTTTTTAAACGACGAGCTGCCCCTGCGGTAGAAAAAAAACAAAAACGAAAGAAAGAAAAAAAAGGGGGGAAGAAGTTGGGAAAAGAAAAGGGAACGGCCGCGGATCTAGCCGCGGCCTCGGTCCAGATGCAAGTTTAGAAGCATCTGGACTGTGAATAGACTGCAGACTGTTGTAACCAACAGTCTGCTCAGAAATGGCTGGGTACAACCATTTCTGGACTGCGTCTGGCCGCGGGTGAAGGCCAGATGCATAGCCAGGGCTTAGAACTTGGTTACCCTAGGGGAACATCAAGTTTCCTGGCCCTTAATCACGATTAGATCAAGGGCCAGACCCTATTCCGGGATTTGGCTGGAGGCAGAGTAGCTGCCCTAAGCCTTCAGCCAGCTATAAAAGTTAGCCTGCCACCCAACTGCCTCACACTTGTGGCAATGCTGTTGGGGCATTCTACTTGAGTAGATGCTGGTTGGCTGGCTGCTGGTGTGATGAGGCGAAGTGCTGGAGGTCTGCAGAGGCACTTGGAGGAAGGAGGAGGCAGCCATAGCCAGAGCCGTAAGGCTGCTGTTGGATTGGGCCGTGCGGCAACGGGTTTTCTTGGCGGAACAGCGAGAGCGCTGCCGAAATTGTGCGGCGGCAGCGCTGGTATTCTTGGCGGAACAGCGGAGGCGCTGCCGAAATTGTGCGACGGCAGCGCTGGTATTCTTGGCGGTACAGCGGAAGCGCTGCCAAATTCTTGCAGCGGAAGCACCGATTTTCTTGGCGGTACGGCGAGGGTGCTGCTGGATTATGTGGCAACAATATTTTGCACAGGGCTGCGAGAAGGGGCGGTGAACGTTGCCGCAGGGACGGTACCGGCAAGGTGGAAGTGCACCTTCGAATAGAAAGGGTGTGGCGATCGTCTTGTTGATGCCTTTGCGGCACGCGACACTTGTAAGAATTGTTGAGGCCGTTGTTATTTTTTTGCGGTATACCGAGTAAGCAGGGATTGGGTCCGGAACCACTAAGTATTGCGGCAGGCAGGTGGTGGCCTGACTTGGTATTTGGTGAGTTGAATCGGCGCTGTTTTAGTGGAAGGTGTGACGTTGAGGCTGTGGGATTTGAGAGTGGGGCACTCTCCTCAACGGCGAGCTCGCTTCTGTGTTGGTGAGCGGCGCCTGAGTCAGCGGCGGCGTTTGAAGGAGGGTGTGACTCGTCCTTGTGAGCGGCCACAACGAGAGTGGTGCGACCGAATTTTTGTGAAGATATTTGGCTTTCTTGAGCGGGCCCTCATAAAAATCACTCAAGGTCAGTGTGACTCAGTTCCTTTGCACACCCGCGTGAACCCACACCTTGCATGACCTTGCTTTGAATTCAGGGCAAAAGATATAGTAAGAGTGTGATGTCAAAGGGCTGACTTGTTTTGGGGATGGATGAATTTCTGGATTGTTTCTTTTCTTGATTGTGCAGGTAGGATGGGAGATGCATGCGAGAAGGAATTAACATTGTTTGCTCGAGATAATAATGAGGATGCTTACCTTTCTCCCACTCAACCTGAATGCATGTGAAAGAAACGAGGAGAAACAAAAATAATAATGAKGAAAGTGTGGACAGACGGGTGCCGAAAGAATGAAGTCCGGGGAAAAATTAAAAGAAAAGAAGACAAGGGAATACCTTAGTATGAACCAAGGGTTTTCCCATTCTATCCCGAACGACCACTTTCCCTCTATGCCYGTCTAAAAATATTTTACTTCTTTCTCTTCTTAATTCGTCTAAGTCGACCCTTAGCCGGGAAGCGTAGAGTGGTCGTCTGCACCTAGGGTCTAGGCTTCTTCTCTTTAGGAGGCATCCGAGGCGGGGGTTCGTTGCCTTAGGGGCCGGCCCTGTTATCGACTCGGAGCGGACCGCTTATGCGGGGGGATACCATGCTGTTGCGGTGGAGCCAGCCCAACTTTTGAGTCCTGAACAATGTGTTCGGGCGAGGGGGAGGGGTATTCCRAACCACTTCCTAGAGGGTAGGGTGTCTTGAMGCTAGGGGCAGTCGCCTCCTCGTGCTTTCAGGGAAAGGGGAGGCTGAATCTAGTACCCGGYTGGGTGGCCACTTTAGGAGCCACCAACGTGTGGGAGGGATGGCGCCATAAGAAGCCCAACCCATGATTCAACTAGTGTTAATGGGAATGCAAATAGTCACTACTCTCGCGATCRGACCGTGACACAAGAATCACAGCCCGAAAAGGGGAGTGAAGATTGAACATGGAAATGCGTATATCTGAAATTATTTTGACAAAGTTATCGCTTCGTCGTTCAGATGCTTGCGGAAACAGTGATTCTCCGATTGTTCAGCACACRCGAGGCGGYGGCTAATTGGTTAGCGGTGCCGACACGATCYCGCGCCGGCATGATACGAAAAGRAAGGCTGGYATACAACCCWCTTGAGGTTTACTCGGAACGGGATGTGCCACGATTCTGGGACGGGAGCGTGAGAAAACCACCGCGGAGTTATATTTTCTTGGTTGAACCAGGCCAGCGTATGGTGCGATATGATTTTGCGCCTCCTAATCCATCACGAGATTAAGGAGATATGAACCTAGTAGTGGTTCACGAGGACTGTCCGGGAGTAGAAAACATTCCTGAGGTAAGAGGGATGTTCCTCCATATTGTACTCCATTTGAACGATTTGCAAGGTCCGTTCGGCCTCCTTCATCATGTGAGACGGGTCCGTGCGAATAGATTTAATATCATTCGCTCGGAACGTTTCGACGTCACCGCGTTTTATGACAAGGCTTGTGAAATTTATGAGGGYCTCTTCTAACAGGTGGCTTCTTCGGTGTGCAGATGCCTAGCGGACGGCGAGACCTCACTCAGGCCAGATATCTACTGATTCGCGACACTACGGAAGAGGAGCTGATCCGGCGAGCGGAGYGATTATTACCTGTTCGGGATGGAGCGCCCACGCGGTGGATTGGTTTTATCGGCCTGCTCAGTGGTGGTCAGGGATTTTTTCCTAACTCGCGCGCGGATGTCTGCGCCAATGTGGCCCGACTTCCGGACGAAGTTCATGGATATACCTTGTACTTCCATCGCGCGAGCAACCTCCAATGCCTCTCTCGGGCCCATTGTGAGCGTTAAAATTACCCAATCCGGGAAGCGCTACGGCGTCATCCGGATTAAGGACACCACGACCACGCACCTTTTTCGGATGCGTCAACCRTTTCGCGCCATAGTTTGGAAGTTTGCCTCACGGGCGGCTTCTCTCTATGATACGCGAGAGGTTCGGGTCTTGCGAGGTGGGCGTGTCTCCACCTTGATTTTTGACGACGAGGAGTTTATACGACTCGGCCGGGTAGAGGCYGAAGCCCGCGAGGGCCGACAGGTCTATCCCGGCTAAGCRCGTCCTCACGAATCAGGTGCCACGGWGAGTCGTCCTTGTAGTAGGGTCACACTACGTGACTCTAAAGGGGTAATAAAAACAAAAACAAAACCACAATCTAGCGTAGGTAAGYCAACCAGATGGATAGTATCTGGACTACCCCGATGATAGCACTATCATGCTAATGCATTGAGGGGTAATCGATCACTTAAATATAAACTGAACGAAGCGAAAATCGAACACTTGAAGAGGTGTTGCGCGGAATAACGAGGACGAAGTAACAGGAAACGAGAATCTTCCATGTCAGGTGATCTGGTGTCGGGGATGGGTACTTCGTCATTCGTGGAACATAGATAGTCATTATCACTTAGGAGGACAAAGCGACTAACAAAATTACATTCGCCCCTCCAAGTAGTTATACATGGTATGGAGATGCGATCAAACCGAGAGCTCAGACATCGACCAGGAGCCAGATCACTTGTGATAGAGATCACTTGTGATCTGCGTGATACCAATAATATTTACTTGTAGAAGCTGTGCGCGACTGATTTTCCGTTCGCGGACGGCGGTATAATCGTCTCTTCGGTCATGTAGGCAGGAAATGATAATCTTGGCAGGTCATCTCATCAAGTCGAAATGTTGTTTATGAGTAGGGGATTATAAAGGGACTAGGATTATATGTTGGGTTTCACGTTTGGTCGAGGCCCTCCTAGTCGACCGACGCTCTTTCGTACCGCGGAGATCAGCGCCCTCGAGAACGGACAGCGTTCGAGTCCACTTGGTGTTAGCCAAGCGTACCTATACTCCAGCGAGCGAGCAAACGCCCTCGGTGACCTACCTCTGCAATTGCACGTAAAAGCTTTCGCACGTGGGTCGGTAGCTCGGTAGGGATACGCCCCTGAGGGCGGTAACAACCCCTCAGGGAAAGTAAGTTGTGCCCCGCGAAAACCTATCCTGTCGTAGGGGACCGCGGGATGTATAGCTGGCGCACCCGGCTAGAGCGGCGAAGGGACAATGCAACGTCGTCCGTCTCGGCGGTTCGTGAGATTATTTATGCATCGTCCTAAGTTGTCTCTTGATTTTGTTTTGTTCTAACTCCTGCGTGACATAGTCGGGAGGGCCCTCGTTCACGCGAGGGCCGATGCGCTCGACAGGTGGCGCCGTTACCGGGGATGACGGCAAACTACCGTTGTCCCTGGTGGAACGACACTCGGGAAAATGATGGTTATAGTGATTTTAAGTGTTGTGTGTTGTTTGTTTGGATTGAAAGTAGTCAGTGGCTGTTAATATTTGGAGAAAGAAAGGAAGGCAAAGTTATTGAGCCCGTTTGACACTTGGACATGTGGGTTTTTATTGTGTTGATTCACCCAAGATGACGGGAGGAAGTGCTGATGAAGGATATGACTGGTCGATACGACTGGCCAAAGATCAAGGAGAATTTGTTGGCGGGAAGCTTCGACCAGATGCTTTACCGTCTCCTGAGGCAGCAAAAAGAAGATCGCGAGAAGGAAGGGGTAAGCGCGGACAAAGACCAAGCCGTTTACAAGACCTTGACTGACATGCGGAACATGATGGCTGACATGAAGGAGGAAAGGTTAAAGCTACAAGTGATGATGGTCCAGACGAAAGGGGGGAAAAGGAAGGGGAAAGCACCCGTTGTGGAGGAAGTGAGCAGTTGCAGCAGTGAAGAGGAAGACGAGGAGGAAGTGGAGCCCCCTCGAAAATTGACCAAGGCAGAACGAAAGGCCCTGAATCAGATACGAGGAGGGCAGGGCACTAGTAAAAAGCAGTGAAAGAATAATGGAGGAGGTGGACAAGGAGGTAATCAGGAACAAGCGGCTCAAACCCCTCCTCAGCAGCCCCAGCCTCAGGCAGGAGGCCGAGGCCGAGGTCGAGGTAGAGGACAAGGCACTGGGGGAGGCCGAGGCAATGGGGGCGGCCGAGGCAATTGGCAGAATTGGTTTGGCCAAGATGGGCATGAGATACAGTTTTGTCAGACCGTTACCAAAGATGAAAACGACAAGGTTATATATACGAATATCCGAGGCGAGGTCTACGACTTCGAAGGGAATCTCATCGATCCCAATGTGGAAGGGGGAATGAGAAAGGAAGCCTTCCGACGTATGGGGCGAGATCTTCCAGCAACTTTTCGACTGGCTTCCCCTGAAGAAGTCGAACAGATCGAGTTGGAAGCGGCGATGGAGTCGTTGACGATTGAAGATGCCAAGGCCGGAGATGAAGGTTTGAGCAAAGAGCAGGAAGCGATACTGCAGCGAGCTCAGGCAGTGGTCAGAAAAATGACTCGATGCAGGGAAACTTTCGTTCAAGTATGTGCCGACATGAATGAAGAGTGGCCCGGGCTTCCCCAATTTTTTCTGTTCGGGGGATGGGACAGAGATGGCCAAGGAGTTCTTATTGATGTTACTGCATCACAACCTGGATCGCCGTCGGCAGGGCGTTTAATGGCCACCACGGTCTTGTCCCGTCCTGCTTTTAAGCGACCTGCCACCGCTGGCCTCCCACAAGCTCGGAGGGCTCGAAGGCCGTCGCGGCCAAGAGCAGCGCCAGAAGAAGGGCCAAGTCAGCCTCGGGAAAGCGAGACAATTGCGATTGAGGAAGACGATGGCGAGGAGGACGAATTGTTGCGGGCCGAGGATGAGCGGTAGGCCAAACAACGAGCCATGGAGAGGGAACCAGAAACGGACAAGGCCGATGTTGAGGAAGGAGAGCTGAAAAAGAAGAAGCAAGTCTACACAATTCCAGTAGAGTAGGGACTGGATATTGAGCAAATCGTGGACCGGATTTTGGAAAGCCAGCGCGATTTGTTCACGGTCAAGGAGTTCTTGGCCGCGGCACCCAAAATCCGAGAAGAGTTCAAGTACCGATTGTCAAGGAAGAAGGTTATGACGGTTAAGATGAGTGATATCTTTCCTCAAGAGATTAGTTGGGATCCTCCTGGGACAAAAATAGACTAGCACTTCGTAGCAACTGGGTTGTTGAAAGTGCAAGTTGGGCCATGTGAATACTCAGCGCTCATCGACGATGGAGCTGAAATGAACATTATACGTGAGAGAGAAGCCCTGGGGGCAGGTGTCAACATCAATCGAGCGGATACTGGATTTTTGGTGGGTGCAAGTGGGATAACTCCCTTTTGCGGAACGGCGAGTGACATGACGATACAAGTTGGTAAAGTCAAAGTCCGTTTGTACTTTTATGTGCTACCCAGGGTTGAGCATGCCGTATTGCTGGGCAGAGCTTTCCTATGTCGGTCAGAATCCATCATCTTCAATAAGCATGATGGTACTATGATCGTGGTTTTGTGCGACCCCGTATGTGGCTATTACGAGGTGATGAAGTGTGAGAACACAGGACCAACCAATTCAAGGAACCGACTCAATTCGGGGTCCTACTCCTTCACGGAATCCGAAAGACTCAGGAGGGAGAAGGAATCCCTCGGAGAAGAGAGCGATCCCCATGAATTTTCTCTTGCTCTGCCCAACATCTCTCAAGCGATCGAGTTCGTTGCGACAGAATCGTCCGTGGACCCCAACTTGGTCCAAACGCTGACAAAGATTGTGGCAGGAGAAGACGGGACTGGTAGAATGTATCTTACTTATCGGCCCGACAGGTCTTCGGAAGGTGATGTATTGACGGAGCCAGCAGCCAAGCAAGGGCCTTTTTTAGAGGTGGACGACTTGGAGTTGGAGCGAAACGTAAGTACCAGAGAGTAGGCGAGAAAGCTCGGTCAGTGCCCGTCTTGATCACGCAAGAAGAAGAAGTGTATTATAAAGAAGAAAGAGAATGGATCAGGATGAGGAAGGAAAAGAGTATGAAGGCACCATGTCGGTTGACGGAAGAGAGGATTAAGAATATGATCATTGGAGAGGAAGGGTCTCTTACTGAGAAGGAGGTGGACTTCCTTGTCATCGTCATAAAGAAAACCCACTTGGCTTATGCCTTTGATGATGATGAGCGAGGGAGGCTTGACGTTGACATGATTCCAATGATCAGGATTCATACGGTACCTCACGAGCCGTGGAACATACRAGGYCCGYGTTATCCGAATCCGGATGATCATCGTAGAGTTGTCGAATATTTGGACGGTAAAATTCGGACAAAGGTCGCGGATTACTCGTATGGACCATATGCGTCCCCTTGGTTTTGTTTCATCAAGCCAAGTGGTGTATTGCGATGGGTGCAGAACTTGCAGAAGCTGAACTCAGTGACGGTTCGTGATGTCGGAGGACTTCCACATGCTGATCAGTTGTCTGAGTCGTGCGCAGGCAGGCCTATCATCACTCTCATTGACTTGTACTAAGAATATGATCAATTCCCTCTCTATACGACAGACAGACCGATGACGGCCATGCATACGCCGAGGGGATTAATTCATATGTGTGCGGCGCCTCAAGGATGGACGAACGCCGTAGCGATTGTTCAGAGGTATATGATGAGGGTCATGCAGCCGCTTTGTCCGGACGTGACGTCACCTTATATCGATGACTTGGCCATTCCTGGGCCACGTGTTAAGGACGAGACGGAGGTGCTGCCAGGCGTTCGAAAGTTTGTTTGGGAGCACTGTGATATGCAGGGTCGCTGTGTCCTTATGATCCTCGTCTGACCAACTTGGATTATATGGATGGGGTTGTCTCGCCCTGTAGGCGTGACATTAACAGAGTTGCGATACTGGAATCGGAGGGAATGTGGTGAGGCTCGAATCTAAAGTGGGGCTTGATGTCGGGATGTTATCCTTCGAAGAGGATTACACCACTCCTCGACGCAGTCACACGGAATTCGGGGGTATTAAGACATAAAAATCCTAGGTACTTGTGAAATTGCACAATCTAATGGGTTATGAAACTCGGGTAAAGGGCTTAAATAAATGGTTCTTGTATTGGAAGGCTAGTTCAGATCATGTCTGAACGATTATCATAGGTTGGGTTATGGAGGTCTGTCAAGGGTTATTCCTGGCTCATTCTGGCAGTTAGCGGAAGGTTAATACGGATCTTCCAGAAGGGATGATGGAAAACCGGAGCCTTGCTATTAATTTCCCCGACAACCGTGACTGTAGTATAGTACGAGTATCCTTGTATTACGTGGGAGGTCCAGGTTAAACTCCTGGCAACACGTGAGTGTGTTGAAGTGTTGTGGATGCATCCCCATGGACATGAGAGACCCGGGTTAAATTCCCGGCGGTGATGGTTGCTTGTCCAGATGATGAAAATAATAATTTCCAACCGAATAAATTTTGTTAGCCAGAACCATTAGAATAAGGTCCTTTGAATTTTGGGCTTCCAGGGGCTGAATCTGGGCATGAGTTTCGAATTTTGGGCTTTCAGGGACCGTATCTGGTACCAATCCGATGAGTGCAGAATGATTGTGAATTTTGGCTTCGAGGGCATAACTCGTTTAATAGTAAGGAGTCCGTTTTTTCGGATATCCGCTTGTTAAAGTATCTGTGATTTTATTAAGAATGAAAGATACTAAGAAAGGTATTGTCTTCTTTTTGATGAAAACACCGACCACGTGAACGACGTGGAAGTCGTTCAATGGGGCCCGAGAATGCTGTCGGGGCAGAAACCTTGACAAGGGTATCTGCCCATGTTTTTCAACGTCGGACGTTGTCTGACCTTTTCGCTAAATTAGAGGACTTGATGAGATTGACGTGCCAAAGTTTATTCATACCAGCGCTATGACTGAGAGACTTAAACTTTTTTTGAACCTGACATCGTTGACGCAGGACGACATCGACATCCGTGTGGGATAACAGGAGTCGGCACTGTCGTCCGTGGGTTTCGACGAGACCGCAGTAGTGTGCGGTCATGGGAGAGCTAAAGTTAAAGCCTAGGCTACCTATGGTGAGGTAACAGCCGCGCGATTCAGGGCCTAAGCAGGCCAAAAAGGGGTCGCCGCGACAAGGACGGCGGCATGAAGGAATGGCTTAGGGCCCATAGGGCGTTTGCGCTAAGGACCAGAGGTGAAGGTGTCGGGGCCGGCTGAGTAGGGCAGCTGCTAAGGCTATCGGCTGCCGACCCGGCCTGCCAGCCACGGCAACAAGCAGGCTCAGCTTGCAAGGCACTGGGAAGGGGCCTGCTGGGTGCCAAGAGCCCTTCATATAGAAGGGCCGCTCCTTTTCAGATGTGAAAAGGAGCTAGCCCAGTAGGTACTGTTGCCAGATTACGACCCCGCAAACATGGGGATCGAACCTAACGAACTGCACTACCGGGCTAGCTTCTTTTGGAGCAGCCCGCGACTAGACAAGGGGTGCGGTCGATTTCAGGCCGTGCGATCTATGAGATCGCGCGGTTGAACTCAGCCGCGCCGGGGTGAAAAGACCCCTGTGGAAGGATGACACGCATAGGCCGAGAAATGGTCCGAAGCTTTTCTTTTTTTTTGGAAAAAAAAAAAAAAAAAAAAAACTTACTTGTCCCATAGCCGGACGCGTAAGCATCCAGGTACGGGCGCGATGGAGACAACTACAACGTCGAGGTAAGTCGGTTCTTTCTTCTTTTGCTATTTTTCCTTTGCTGTTTTTCTTTTTTTCTTTCGCTCTGTTGCCATTGGGACAGAACGAACCGACGGGATGTAACCGTTGGGGGGGGAGGAAAAAAAAAAAAAAAAAAA